GACGGCCGACTCTCCAGAATGACCGCCTCGACAGGGGGCGTGATCATCGAATGGAAAAAGCGACTCCAAACGACCGCCGGTCGAGCATCCTGGAAATGTGTTACCCCGTCACCAAAGAAGGGAGGAGACCCGGCCATGCCACCGCAGCATTATGCCACCATCGAACTGGCAGCGAAAGTCGTCGACTGCGAAGAGCGGATTATCAAAACGGTCGCACACGAGTTCTGTCATTTGGCGAACTACATGATCTCAGGCGTGCATGATAACCCCCACGGCACTAGCTTCAAGGCATGGGCAAGCAAGTGCAAGGAAGCAATGAAGAACCATCCTGTCTACGGTGGGAAAGTCGAGATCTCGATCAAGCATGACTACGCCATCGACTATAAGTACGTCTGGCGCTGCGTGCACTGCAACTTGGACTATGGGCGTCACTCGAAGAGCATTGACCCCAAGAGACATCGATGCCGGTGCCAGGGCATCTTGCAACAGATTCAACCCAAGGTGAGGAATGTGTCGCCATTGAAGAAGTCGGTGAACGCGCCAGCACCAAGCGTCAGGGGACTGTTGAATGAGGTGGGCCGCGTGTTGAATGAGACGCAGAGGCAGACGTAATTGGAGGTTCTTGTGAAGATGGATTTGGGGATGATGATCTAGTAGGTATAATATTTGATGTATGTCATGACTGACGGTTGAATGTCTTGTTATTAGCGATCATGTACATACATACAGCTTGTTGTTACTTTCGTTCCTTTCTTTTCTCTGGATGTACAAACAGATCAATCAAGATACATACACCGATTACTGTGTTACCTTAAAATGTTTCTATAGTGATCCATGGATATTATCTACAACTATCTATCCAAGTAATAACCTAGCACGCACACACAATGGTATCATTCCTTCCACCACTCACACACCCAAGAAACACCAGAAGAAAGAAAGGAAGAAAGAGGGAATCATCCAAACAAATCCCACTCCACAACCACCAACCCATCCCCATCACCACCAAGCAACCCCTCCACCACCCCCCCAACAACCCCCTCCTCCCCCCTCAACCCCTCCTCATCCCCCCTCCCCTCAAACTCCTTAACCGGCACATTCCCCCAAACCACCAAATCACTCCCCTGCTCCTCCAACCTCACTACCAAAAACGCACACCTCACCACATCCTTCCCCACATTCCCCAACTCCACCCTCCCCGTATACACCCTCCCAGCCCCAGTCCCCTCCCGACGGCCCACACTCGTAATCGGTGTGCGGAAGCGGATAGTCTCTTTACTGACGGTGTCGTTTTCTTGGATGTCCAGGATGTGGTAGAGGATGGCGGCTTTGTCGAGGGTTTCTCTATCATCTTGGTTTTGCGTAGTGCTGGTGGCGGAGGCGAATAATTCGCCATGATTGGATAATGTTTCTTGGCTTGTGCTGTCCGGGACGTATTCGTTGATTTCGTAGATTAGGGTTGAGAGGGTTGTTGGGGAGAGGTAGAGTTCTTGGTGGTCGGGGATTTGGCGGAGGTTACTGTTATCATCAATTAGCATTGGTGTGGGGGATGAGGGGAGTGGAATAGGTTAGGTGGGGACGAGGGAAGTAAAGGAAGGGGAGGGGAAGTGTATATACCTAGCATCTAGCCAGCCCTTGGGGATGAGGCCTTTGATGGCGCCGCCGTAGAGGGGTTGCGGGGTGTATGTTGGTGGTGGTGAGGTCATGGTGGGATGGTGTTGTGTTGTGTAGAGTGGATGTGTGGTGTGGGGGTATGCGATTGCTTTTCTGATCAAAGTAGATGAATATGTATGAGAGGATAGGAAGGAGAAAAGAGGTATGTTGTAGATTGTTGGTATGATGGAGGAAAGGAAAAGCTCAGCTGCTGCGCGGAGCGGAACTTTGATTTGATTGATGGTGGGGGCGGGGTGTTCGGATGGGCGGCCGAGGAACAACTCTACTTAGTACTACTTATATTCTGGCAGAAGTGAAGACATCAGATTTGATACATTGATGAGGAGCCGATGATGGTATTTTAAATACCTCTGTCATATGGCTGGAGAGTGCGTATATGTTTTTCATCCCCAATTCTGGTATGCATCCCTGACAGATGGATATATATCTTTCTACTTCCATCCCTAGATAGTACCTGTAGTTCTGGATATCAACAACCTCAGATACTTCAACCATGATGAAGATACAAGCACACTAATTAGGAACACTAATACGAAATTCGATTAAATGCTACTAGGTAAATAAAAGTACTAGGTGCCATAAGCTTGTATGAACAGACACAGTGTATTCCATAGTTGAATCTAGGCTCAGCAGTGGTCTCGAGAATGGTTCAATTTGTTGTATCCTAATCTCGAGCTCCTATCACTGATAAATATCTTCATAGAACCACCAACATCCTATTCTGAAAGGAATAACAATCTGACCTGCCAGCAGCAACAACTAATGCAGTAACCAAAGCCTACATATCCAGCAGCTCCTCAATATACTCGTCCAACGCAATCATCCGAAACCGGTTCCCCCATTTCGCTCGGAATTCCTTCCGGCGATAAGCATAGCTCGTCACTTGGCTGAAGCTGACCAGCTCTACGGCCCAGCCCCGGCTCAGCGCCCGCTCTACCATCTTCATAAATCCGCCCGAGAATTCGGCTTCCGCCGCGTCTCCCGTGGCTAAAACGATGGTTGCCGGTTCGTCCGTGTCTAGCAAACTTTCGAGAATCTTCAGATGCAGAATTTCGTCCACACCCTGCTCAACCCAGCGCTCCTCTGATGCTTCGTTCGTTTCTGAACCGCTACCAGGGTCGTGAGCGCCAGCTCGAGGATTCTTGCGGAACCGCATTTGACGAGGAGTCATATGCTTGACTTTGTGGACCCGATCGAGGATGTTGGCTTCGTAACCAAGTTGTTCGCCTTCAGTGATGGCTGCAAATCGATCCGAGCCCACCAAGACTCGTTTGGCGGTGGGCCGGCCACGCTCGAGGATTAAAGAGAAGTTTTGGAATGACAAAGGCAATCGACGAATCCGCGTTTTCACCGGAATTTTGCGCGATAGCTTGACCGTATCGTGGAATCCAACCATGATCTGGCCCAGTTAGCACAAACACACCATTAGTCTTTAATCATACATACATTGGACATGTCAACAAAGACATGGATGGGACGGCGGGTAACATCCGTCTTTTTAGAGTTCAAAGGCCGTCCGACTTGGGTCACGGCATCTGCATAGTCGGGGAAGTTCTTCAAAAGCTTAGTCAAGAGACCAATCCTCCGATCAGCAGTAGACCTGTATGCAATAGGCTGTACGCGTAGCGTGCCAGTGTTGGGAGGGTTTTTCACAATCTTCGGGGGAGATGACTCCATCGACTCATCATAGGAGGAAGGCGGCGTCTCATATGGATCAGACATGGCACCCGCCGTGCCGACCTGCGGAGGGACCAGCGACGGAGTGCTTCCACTCATGAGCAGAGGAGGATCGAAGACGCTAAGGTTGCCATCAGACTCGGCTTCCACAGCGCTCTCAGAGGTGCTAGCCTCATCTACATGCTTGCTTAGTGCAACATCTGATTTATTGGGAGCTCGCTTCCCGGCGGTCTTGGCCTGCAAGTTGCGGGACCTGGAGACAGGTATAGGCTTTGACGGAGTACGGGAAGGCTCCTCATCCAAGCCTGCAGAGTCGACATGATCATTCAAAGGTCGTTTGAGGATTTCGATTCGCTTAGGCGATTGGGGCGTAGGGGTAGGCGAGTTTCGCTGAAGTTCACAAGGTTCAACTGGTGGGCGGGTGGCCGAGATGCTAGTACTGCCTAAAAGCTCCCAAAGAGAACCAAAGTCTCCTAGCTTCGGAGGGGCCCCCTCCACAGGCCTCACCTCGCGCACATCAGCAGAGGATGCGGAGCCATCGTTGTTGTTTGTCTCCCAAGCAGGCTGAACAATTGAGGCGGACTCCGGGTGGCGATAAGGAACCGATGAGCTACCAGTGCCGTAGGTCGGGGTGCGGAGGAGATTGATCACCGGAGTGAAATCCCAATTTGAAGCTGATTCAAACGATGATGGCATTACAAGTACGAGGGCGAAATTGGTGTGCAATGAGGGTGTTGATTGCCCGGCAGCAGCAGCTGGAGCAGTGATTGATAAGGCGAGCGGGGTTGCCTCCAGAGATAATCACAAACCGGCGGGCTCGCAGAGAACGTCAAGCACAAACGGAAAACGGTAGGTCAAAATCGCAAAGAAAAACAGAGCAAATAGATATAGAGCCGATCAACATGGTGGTCCAGCAGACCTAACGAGAGAGCGTGTTGGCGCCAAACGCATTGGAAGGACGAAGAGAGGGAGAGCGTCAGGCAGGACAACAGGCAGTCGGCCTGAAGGGACTCGCCGCGTGGCGGTGAACAGCTGGCCGCTTTCTGCTGGTGGCTACCGCTTGCTGTTTACATGGCATAACAAAGCTATACTATTTGCAGTCTAGCTCAGTATCGGTATTCGCTTTAACATACTTCCGAGAACATTCGAGCGCTAACCGCATCGAGCTACATGCGATCATGCAGACGTCATGACTAGGGGCGCCCCCAAAGAGGAAAGTCTGGACCAGATCGGCGAGGTCTGGCGCCATCCGCTTTTTCGACCTTGTAGTTTGTACACAATACACAGTACACAGTGAATAAACTCAAATATCGTCATGCCCCGATGACGCACATGCAAGATCCGGCGTCCTGATCGAAACCGGGGTACTCCCCTCATGATGACGTTGATTCGCTGGTATCTCTTCCAGGACTGCTTCCCCCCGGTTTCACTGGCTGCATTCACGTTTATCGATGGCGTAGCCATTCACTGCCAGGATAGTCGACGTCATGGAGCAACTTGAGGATTCAAAACTTATATAAAGACTTCTCTGCACCGTCGATGAGTGTCTCTTCCATCAACAATCCAATCATCTACAAATCGCAACATCCAATCCAAAACTCAATCACAACCAACACTTTTCAAGTTTTCTTAACAACCACTCAATCAACATGTCTGACGCCGGTCGCAAGGATTTCTCCACCAGTATGTCTCCTGTTCCTGCGTTCAGGCGCCCCATGCCAATTGGCTTGCGTGATACTTACTCGCTTCTGCAGAGGCTAAGGAGGAGATGACTCCTGACTCCACCAAGTCCACCCAGGACAAGGTTAAGGAGACCTTCACCGACACCACTGACCGTGTCGCCCGCGGCTTCCAGACCGATGATAGCAAGTCTGCTCCCCAGCAGGCCTTCGACAAGACTCAGCGTGCCAGCGACAACAACGCTCACGGCGGTGCTTCCGGCTCCATGTCAGTATATCCCTGATCATGCAGTGGTCAATGAGAACATCTTAACTAACAGACTCTGCAGTGGCGACAAGATCAAGGACACCCTTGGCCTAAACAAATAAGTGCACGGCACTTTCCAATACAATCGATCGACGAGTCATGACCAATAGCGTGGAATCGGAGAACGATGGGTTGGCGGCTCACTGCAGATTGTCCTTTTCATGATTTTATGAGTTGACGATACCACACCTTGATAGTATCACCTCTCCCTAGCTCAATACTAGTTGAACATTTGATAAACAAAGTCCTACATCATATGTAGTGTAGAATCTACTTTTCGGCAAGCTTCTCAGACATAGTGTTCCGTTGCTGGGTGAGTCGGTCAAGCTCCTGTTCTAGCTCCTTGTATTGCGCCCGAGCACCAGGGATGTCGCTTGGCAGATCATGGAGCTTCTTTACCCTTTCCACTAGTGTTTTAGTGCTCTCCAGCATCCTGATCACGCTCTGCTCTTCTGCAATTACTTCTTCAAGCGTGGGTCCCTTGCTCCTATTTCTCTCTAGCGAGGCAATTCGATCTTGGTATTCGCCAGCTTTGGCGCTGAGCAGTTTGGTTTCTCTTGTCCATTCCGCCGTTAGCGCTGGGAGGTTGGCTGGTGTTTCATACACCTCGTTGGTCTTGAGGTCTAAAAGTTGTTCTCGCAGCGTAGCCAGCTCTTCGCCCAAGTATTCGTGTAGTGCCTGTACTCTACTCATCTGCTGCTGCGCATCGAATTCCTCCACCGTAAGTTCAATGATCGATTGGCCCAGGTCTCTCGTACTTGTGCCCAAAGCCCCAAGTACTGCCGTTGTCTCTGCTAGGTCGTCCAGGTTTCGTCTGCCATTGTCGTCAAGACTATGCTCCACCTCATCCAGTATTTCCACCTTCTGCCTTTCCTCACTCTCCTCTCGGGCTTTGAAGCTTTCAACCGCCTGCTCGCGAGCCTGATGAAGGACGGTGGCTTCCTCATCCGCAGTATCATTGGCAGCGGCCAGTGCTAGGAGGGTGCGCAGTGTATCTTCATTTCGCTCGAAGCTGGGAACCGGATTCGGTGCGTACTGACGACTGAGCCATGCATTGACATAGGCCCAATCTTTGGCCTGAATGGCCGCTTGGCGCGCTTTTGCGGGGGAGAGGAGGGGGCTATCCATGGCAATCGTTCGTGTTGTTAGAAATTATCTGGGATATGCAAGGGTTGAATAGCCATGTAAAGGCCTAACAATCAAATATCTTGGTATTTTCTCAAGGATGCGGGCTGAGGAAAGGATTAGGTTCAAAGGTTGATTCAGGTACAGGGACGGATCAACAACCCGGCCGGGGAAAGCGCTGCGCCGAATCCCGCCTCCGCTTCCATCCCGCGGGACACTCGTAGTGACCATCCCAGCTAGACAGCTCGACTAGGCCAACAGTCCCACGATGGCGAGCTATTTCCCTCCCAATGGAGTCATCTCCAGCCATGGATCCACTCGAGCGTCCTCGCCAGCGTCCTCTCCGCTTTCACCCCCGGTACACCAGCGATCCAATGCCTTGTCCAACCGACTGACAAGTGTACTTTCGGCCTCCTATGCGGACTCGGACATTCGCGATGCGCTGGAGACACTCAGCCTCAGAGGGATACACAATACGGCAGAAGTTCGGAGACAGCTACGCTTGGATGTTCAGAAGGAAGTTGTCGATAGCAATGCCGAGATTGTGCGGGATTTCGGACTGGTTGCGGAGGTGAGATGCGCCGATGCTGAGAGATCCAATGGATGCTAACTTAGCCTGCTGCGCAGCAATTGAAACGGATAGGAACTGTGATTACCAACCTGAACCAGACTTGCGATGAGATGCGCAAACATATTGTCTCTGCCAGGCAGGAAACAGCACCAGTGCTCGAGGAAGCGTCGGCCTTGATGAAACAGAAGAAAGAGGCAGAGACCAAACAGGAGCTGCTGGAAGCTTTCACCCAACATTTCATCGTCCCCGATGAGGATCTGCTGATCTTGACACACGCCGAGGAGCCTATTGATGACCATTTCTTTGAAGTCCTCGCCAGAGTCAAGCAAGTCTACCGGGACTGTGAAGCATTGCTCGGGGGTGAGAACGAGCGACTAGGTCTGGAACTCATGGAGAAGAGCTCCAGAAGCCTCAACTCCGCCTACCAGAAACTCTACAGGTGGATACAGAAGGAGTTCAGATCCCTCAACCTTGAAGATCCTCGCATCAGCAGCTCTATCAGACGTGTTCTGCGAGTGCTGGCGGAGCGGCCAAGCTTGTTCCACAGCTGCCTGGATTTCTTCGCAGAGGCGCGAGACTACGTGCTCTCTGATGCCTTCCACTATGCCCTTACCGATGCTGTCTCTGGCACGACGGGTGACACCAACGTGAAGCCAATCGAGTTCTCCGCCCACGATCCCCTGCGGTACATCGGAGACATGCTGGCCTGGGTGCATTCCACCACCGTCTCCGAACGAGAGGCACTCGAGGCCCTCTTCGTCGCCGACGGCGAAGAGCTCGCCAAAGGCATCCAAGCCGGGCTAAGCAGCGAACCCTGGTCCCGTATCGACGAAGACAAAGAAGTATCATTCGACGGCCAAAAGGCTCTCAGCGACCTAGTCAACCGAGACCTCATTGGCGTCTCCCGGGCCCTGCGCCAGCGCGTCGAGCTAGTCATCCAAGGCCACGACGACCCCGTCACCTGCTACAAGGTAGTCAACCTACTATCCTTCTACCAAACGACCTTCAGCAAACTCCTCGGCCCGCAATCCAACCTGGCCGAGCTCCTTGAAACCCTCGAAAAGTTCACCTTCAACCACTTCGAAACCCTTATGCACGACGAAGTCAACAACATCTCAACAGACCCCTCAGCCCTCACACCCCCGGCGGACCTCTCCGCCCCCCAATTTCTCCAAGACGCCCTAGAAGTCCTCACCTCCCTAATGAAAACCCACGAGGCCTCCTACGGCGCCGACCCCATCCCCACACCCGGCCCCAAACCCACCTCACCACCACCCCAGGACACCACCACCACCACCACCAGCACCGAAAACAAATTCACCCCGGTCCTCCACTCCGCCCTGGAACCCTTCCTCGACCTAGCCAAATCCTCCGCCGCCGATCTCCCCTCCCACACCACCCAAACCATCTACCTAACCAACATCCACCTCACCGTCCGCACAACCATATCCCCCTACCCCTTCGCCAGCACCACTCACCTCTCCCCAATCCAAACAGCCCTCTCAACCCTCCGCACAGACCTCCTCGAAATCCAACACCGCTACCTCCTCACCTCCTCAGGTCTCCAAACCCTCCTCGCAGCCTTGGAGCCATTCTCCCCTCAACAACCACCCTCAGACCAACAGCAGAAGTCGTCATCGAAACCAAACATCTCAGATATCCTCACCCTCCCGGCCTTCCAGCCGCAGGCACTTGTGAATATCAGTCAGCAATTGGATGACTTCCTTCCGTCAGCGTTGATGGATGCTACGGAGAACTTGAAGCGCGTGGCGAGCGCGACGTTCGTGAAGAGCGTTACGGAGGATGCGGTCGAGGCGTTTTGTAGGGACTTTGAGTTTGTTGAGGGCATGGTTATTGCGGCGGATAATGAGGCGCGTGGAGGTGTGGTGGATGGGGAGGAGGGAGAGGAGGAGGAGGGAGAGGAGGAGAAGGGGGGTTTGAGGAGGTTGTTCCCTAGGACGACTGGGGAGATTAGGGTGTTGTTGAGCTGATTTAGCTTCTTCTTATTGTAGTAGTTGATAGGGGGTGGGTTGTGTGTTTGGGTTTGTGGATTGAATGTATATAGTGCGGATTGTGTTTGATAGCATTTGCTTCTTAGTTTTATATGTGAAGTTGAGTCGTTTATATTGTATATGCTATTTCATCTTCAGTTGATGTATGTAGTAAGTAGATAACTAGATCTACGCCTGACGAATCATAATACCATACGGATCACGATCCTTCTCACTAACATCCACCACACACTCCGCATCCCCAAACACCTCCTTCAACTCCGCACCAGCAGCACCACCCTTCAGACCATCCTTCCTCTTCGCCTCCCACTCCTCCTTCACCGCACCCGCCAACTTCTCCCTCATCACCGCACGCAGATACCCACGCTCCGTATTCGAATGCGCCAGCGCAACCACAACCGACCCACGCTCCACCGCCGCCAACGCCTCATGGTGACTCAACTCACCCGTGAAGAGCAGATCAGGGATCTTCCCGCCCGTGCCCTTCAATAAGATACTCGATCCGGAGCCAGGACATACACCCACAGTGCGGATCTTGATGTCCTCGACCGAGGAGGTCTGCGGAATAGCGATGGGAATACCGCCGGGGTATCCGACGCCCTGGGCGATGCGGTCCACGACGGCAGTGAGGGACTGGGGCTCGTCGAAGGTGACGATGCGGCCCATGCCGGCTGAATCCATGCCTTCGGGGACTGGGGGCGGAGAAGGGATGATTGTGTTGCGGACGTGGGGGACGGGAGTTGCGGGGGATGCGGGCTGGGGGTCGGGGAAGGTGGCGTGGGAGTATTGTGCTGAGGAGGATTTCTTGATGGTGGGCTTTGTGCTGGTGGTTGGGGCGATGGCGCCGGTGACGATGTCGCAGAGCCAGTCGGCCATGCCGCCGGGGGTGGCGTCAATGGCTGTGTGCGGGGAGTAGACGCTGATGCCTTCTTGGGCGAGACGGAGGAGGGATGATTGTTGGGGGTCGTTGAAGGTGATGGATTTGAGGCCACGGAAGATGATGGGGTCTAGATGTGTTAGTTGTGTTAGTCGGTGATGGGGGGTGTAGGAAGGGGTGTTGCATACGGTAGGCTACGACTACGGAGTCGCGGCGGGCAATTGCTTCGTCTGCAACTGCTTTGGTGAGGTCAATTGCTAGAAGGACGGAGTTTTTCTGTCGGCGGGTGTGGTCGAAGGGGGCTTCGAGGAGGACTGGAATATAGAGTCAATGGGGTGTAAAGCTGGTAGTAGAGGATGGGGGGAGCTTACGGCCGGTGTTGTCCCAGCTCTTATCTGCCAATGACTCGGGGTAGCTGTTGCATTGAACGAATTAGCAATTTTGGAACTCAATTGATCAATGTAGGTGACGGAAAGCATACAGCTTCCTCATGGAGCTCACCACTGCCTGCGTAAATGGCGATGAGGTGGGGTATGAAGCAGACATTGTGGAATATAAGCGGGCGGATTGGCGACGAAGAGAGTTCATAGACAATGTTGTTGTAGTCTGGGATATGCGATGATCAGGTGCAGTTCCGGGATGTCAGCTGGTCAGCGCAAAGTTGAGCTAGAAAATACCCCGCGAATGTAAAAGCAGATGAAGCTTTAGAAGAAGCGATGGAAGCCGAGGAGAAGCTGGCGCCACAGCTGCCCTAGTCCAGACTGGGGCTAGTACCCACCAGCCACAACGGCAGCTGACCAATCCGTTTCTTACGGTACGGTACGGGAGGAAGGAGAAAGAGGATCAATCCCAGCATGAAGGAATTCCGTCATCCTACATCGGAAGAAGCATCACCGCGCTGCCCACCCTTCTGACTCAAATCGCTCTTAACGACTCTCGGTCGCTTCACCTTAATATAACTTAATACTTTTAACTATTCAAGTACCTTATACTCCTTTGAAGTCGCCGCCCGGCTCGCTTGATGTACTCCCGCACCACTACCCTGTTGAGCAGAAGCTGCCGGTATCTTCTCCGCACCCCCGTCCATCACAAATCGCCGTTCTCGATTTCCGCGCGCTCCTTTGCGGCAGTCAACGCAGCCATGGCCGATACTTCGGGCGTTACGGCCGAGTCGCTGAAGAGCAAATTGATCGATCAGTTGCAGGCGCAGCATGTTGAGATTGAAGACTTGTCGGGTATGAAAGCGCCTGCTGATTAATTTCATCTCCATGAGGAAATGAATGAATGCTACACAACTATATGATTCCAAGACCAGATGTTGACGATAATGTTGTCTACAGGTGGTTGCGGACAGGCTTTCCAGGCCGTCATTGTCTCCCCCCAGTTCGAGAAGAAGACCATGCTTGCTCGCCATCGCCTGGTGAACTCGGCCCTCAAGGCTGAGATCGCTGCCATCCACGCCTGGACGCCCAAATGCTACACTCCCGAGCAGTGGCAGGCGCTGCACCAGGGCTAACTCTGTTGTGAAGACGGAGGCTAGAGGAATAGGGACTGGATATATCCTGGGGATTGACATGCCCTCGAGGGCATGCCGTCGGGCGTTGGGTTATTCGACATCATGGCTTTGCGCTGCCAGTTATGACTTATGGTTCGCTGGCTGTGGTTCTGAAAATAGAGTTCTATCGCAATAAATATTATGATATATTGTCATGTGAAGAGCCTAAGTATATAATTTTTTATATGCTAATTCTCTGGGCTGGTTTAGGCCAAGACCTTCTCGGCCGCAGAGACTACATAATCCGTTAGTAACAAACAATTTATATGCTGGTTTTTGGGATCATACCGTCAAGACCGATGTTGTCGGGCTCCACGAAAGCCTCCTTGACCTTGCCGTTCTCGACAAGCAGGGCGTAACGCTTGCTGCGGTTGTTTCCAAAGATGGAAGCGCTGTCGAAGGTCACATCCAGGGCCTCGGAGAACTTGCCACTGGGGTCACCCAAGAAGCGGATCTATCATGTAGCGTTAGTACACGGCACCGGGTGTTTCTCGTACAACCAGGTTATAAGATCACTTACGCCGCTCTTGCCCTCGGGGTCAAGGGAGGTAGCCCATGCCTTGGTGCTGTTGTCGGGTTAACCATGATACCCTCGATTAACGGATGACACAGTACGTGACCCGTAACTTACACGAAAGGGTCGTTGACTGCAACAACGAAGACCTGACCGGCCTCCTTCAGCTTGGGGTGGTTGATGAATCCAGGAACGTGGGTGGCAGAGCAGGCGGGGCCTAATTTCCGCCGAGGTGGAACGGTTAGCAATTTATCACCAGGGGATATCTTTAATAACAACAGCGACCACTCCTATTCAAGGCCGGGCCGACGATATCGGCACGAAGATGACATACTGAAGGCAGCAGGAACACCAACGATGACGCCCTTGCCCTTGAGCTCCTTGGCGAGGTTCACCTTGTTGCCGGGCGAGTTCTCAACCAGGACATCAAGGTCGGGGATGGCGTCTCCCTTCTGAACAAAAGCGGGTGCCGTGCTGTGGAAAAGAGCCCTCTGGGACAAGGTGCGAGGGACACCGGCGGTAAGACGACGAGCAGCAAACATGATGGCTACAGGGAGGAATGGATGATAATTTGACAAGGAATGTGTTTGGTATAGGAGATTAAATATTCCCGTTGGGGGGTTGCCACAGGAAGTTTAAATTGAGAAATGAGCGATATGGGAGGTGGAAGGAAGGAAGAAGGTGGGAGCTGGATGGAAGTTGATTATTGTTGTTCCTGAGCTGGTGGAGCTTCCTCAGCTTTCTCCAGAAATAACAAACATTAATTTAAATTGCTTCCCGTTCGGGAGGTCGGAACATTAAACATTGCGATGATTTCGTCATGGTCGCTTTTCGGCTGCAGCGCCCGGACGGTCGACTGGAGAACGTGGGGACTTGCTAAGGAGGAAGAGGAGGATAAGTATAGGACTTTCAACCATCCTTGATGGTCGAATGGGTTGATTGAAACAGCCAACTGCCCTCTGCAGATAAAGCCACACAATAGTGCGGTTGTGAACAGAATTCCGGGACCTCTTGCTGGTTTCAAAACAACCATCCACGTGAAAAAGGGCGATAACGCCATACTTTAAAGCCCACTTATGTATGTCTACATATCATCACATCAGATTCGCCTCCCCCGGCATGTGGGAAGTAGTACCAGACACAAGGCCGCGATGAAGAGGGAGGGGGGTGAGCATCGAATCAATCATACCGTGCGGACATCGACTCCGGCAAGATCTCATGGACCAGTCTCGATCGCTGCCTCAGAATCTCTGACAGCCTTTGTTCCCGCCAACTGACGGACACCAACCCTGCATTGTCTGTCTCTAAACTGCAAGGGTTCGTTTGCAGCATTCAAGTGGCTTTGGACCGGGGGGGTTTGAGTCTGGACTCTCAGCAGCACCTCCCCCATCTAGAACCTTGGCTGATAATTGATCTTATTCATGGGCTGGCTGGATGAGTGTGATAAGACGAGCATGAGAGGAGAAGACAGGAGTCGGATTAACCAGTAAATTAGTTGGGCATTTACTTACATAGTTTGTCTCGCATAATATTAATAGTACCAGCTTCCTTAGAACTAGTACATGATGTTCGGGAGGTGGCGTCTCCATGATCCATACTACTCCATAGCTCCTTGTGCTAAATTAAGAGCCCATCCGATCTCTCTATCACATCTTATGGCTCAATGAGGAAGACTGGAATTAGAATATGGCTATTTCATGGCCTGTCTCCGTTCTTTCTTTGTCATGTCGTTCTTACTTACACACCTGATAACCTGTTAGTTAGTTGTAATCATCTCTGGATCCTCGTATCGTCGGCTAACCCGCGAGAGGGGATCTGCAACTGTTGCCGAAATTGAGGGACCCCCTGAGAAGGGAAGCCATCTGTAGTAGAGGAAAAGATGGCCCAGCAGAGCAAAGTCGTGCACTGAAGGCATACATACATACATACTGTATGTAAGTAATGATGCAGTTGATTTGATTCTCTGGAACCCCACCTCGTACAAACCCGCTGGCTACCGCGGGGTCCGAGAGGAATGAACGAAGGCAAAAAGAGAAGACAAGGATGATGGGCTGAGAGATAAACATCAAAACGGTCATTGCTTCCGTCCACCCCTCCCTCCGTATACCACGACACGGCCGTTCGGGTTGTTGATCACTGCGCAGAATCCAAGGCCCCTCCACCTGAGGCAGCCTATCTCCATAGCTTCCCCCCCATCCTTTTCGTGCATCATTCTGCATCCATCAGGCGCACTGACAGCAGTCTTTGGACCGGTAATTCCGCCAGAAGAAGTGGTGGATACTGATCACTCACTCAGTCACACTTGCTTTGTTGCCTTCCTTACTTGGTGCCTTGTGCGTTTGTTTTTGGGTAATGGATATTCTCTTTCTGTCTTTTTATTATTACTTAATTATCTTTTTTTTCCTAGGCCGGAATTCTTTATTTACCCATTCATTTTATTTCCCTTTTCTTCTTTCTCTCTCTACCGTTTCTTCTTCGCCTTATACTTTGTATGTATGCTGGGAAAGTTAAAAAGGAGGGGAGCATAATTCTTGGTGAACGATATTGAGTTGTCAGTCCCTATTAGTTAGTTAGACCCGGGGGCTCTAAGATTTAGTTCCCAGTGTTAGGTTTTCGTTGGCTTAGCATTAAGAATTCTTCCTCTACCCCTCTTATGGATCTCCTTGCGTGAGGTCATCCCCCCCAGAATTAGAGACAAGTGCTGCATGAGAAACAGCCTCAAGATACCCGTCAAACGGAGAATTTCAAATTGCCAGAATGATTGGAGGACAAGTAGGTACTAGAGAAATTGTACATCTCTTTCGAAGTCAAGTAAGATTAACCGGAAGGGGTAAAGGGACGGAGAAGTGACAACCCAACGGGTGGGTTGGAAGTTGTGGCTAGTGACCACGTACTCGGGGGGGAAACCGGAAAACCCACTTGGGGCAATTGGAGATGCGTCGATAATAATCAATACCACTACTACCACTGCTACTTCATACATTTGACTACTGTAGATACTACAAGAAGAAACTTTGCTGGGCTGGGTGAACGTGAACCTGATTGCCAAATGAGAGTGAGCCATGGAAAGCAAATCACCGAACCACCTTTACCCACACGCCTGCCTTTTTCTAATCCACCCCCAACTCAGCAGCGCAGCAGCAGCAGCAGACAGGCAGACAGACAGACAGACTGACAAGACAAGAGAGGGGGGAGAAGAAAAGCCCCTCGGTGTTTCTCTCTCTCTCTCTCTCTCTCTGCTACCTAACCTAACTACCGACCGTTGACTGATGATTTAGGATTTTATTATAATTGAATGTTATTTGATTTGATTAGGATTTTCTTTTTCTCTTTTATTTTTTCTTTTTCCCTTCTTATTTCTTTTTTATCTTCCCCTCTTTAAGGGAAAAAAGGGCAACAAGACCAAGACTGAAAATAATAAATCCCCAAAAAATATCAGGCTCCACCAAAAGGAGGGACTGGAACTAAACCCGAACGGCATTGACTAATTAATCCCCATTCCTCCTACTTCCTCACTAACACTAAGGCTCACTAAACTAAACTTGCCTACCACCACCACCATCTCTCGACCACGACTACTACCTTACGCTCGTCTTTTTCTTTCTTTCCCTCCATTCCTCTTCTTTTCTTTCGTCCTCTTCTTTTTCTTGTCTGATCACTATTCTATTTCTCTCTCTCTCCAGTCTCCTTTCTTTCCCTTTTCCTTTGCCACCCGACATTTAATTTGACGACTGGCTGGTTTTTCTTCTTTCCCGTCCCTCCGCCCGTTTCTCGCCTTGCGACTTGTTGAGCCTGTTGCTTGTTCGATCGGTCGCGACCCATCTAGCCCACGATGGACGCTGGCCAGACCTCGACCAGCACCGCCCCCGCGGGCAACTCCAGCGATTTTGTAAGTGTCGCCCTCGATAGCGACCGTTGTGAACCTCATGATCGCTATTATTTTCTATGCGATTATTCTTCAGTTTGCTAACATGATGGTTAGGTACGAAAACTCTACAAGTGAGTTGTTCCCCTTTAACTACTTCCCTGTACCTTGCCTGCGCTTCATCACTTCGCTTTCTCGTCCGCCGGGTTTTTCAATCTCAAACCCCCCCGGCTTTCGCTGTTCGGTTGTCGCTGCGCCCTAGTAGAATCCAGCGATGCTCTGCATAATCTCGACATTGATCATGCGTGCTAATCCTCATCGCAAAGGATGCTCGAAGACCCATCGTACGCGGAAATCGTGCGGTGGGGTGACGAAGGAGACAGTTTTGTGGTCTTGGAGGTATGGCGCTCTTCGCATCTCCCACCCCGTCTGCCTTTCCTGCGGTCGCAATCCTCGAGGCTGACCTAGAAATCTATTCAGTGCGAAAAATTCACCAAGACCATCCTTCCGAAGCACTTCAAACACAGCAACTTTGCCAGTTTCGTGCGACAGCTGAACAAGTACGACTTCCACAAAGTGAGACAGAACAACGAGGAAAACGGACAGTCACCATACGGACAGAATGTAAGCAACCTGCGCTTAGTGGCAGTCGATGCGATAGGTTCTAACTGTACTTGCTCTCCAGGCCTGGGAGTTCAAACACCCTGAGTTCAGAGCGAACAGCAAAGAATCCCTAGATAACATTCGACGGAAGGCCCCGGCTCCGCGCAAACAGGCCCAGAGCACCGAAGACTCGGTTCCGACACAACAAATAGATTTGCTGAACCAGCAAATTGTGGCTCAACAACAACAGATTCATCAATTACACGAGCGACACACACGACTCAGCGTCGATCACCAGTTGATGATGCAGGAAGTTATGAGGGTGCAGAAGACCATCCTTAACCATGAAAATGTTATCCACCAGGTGATGACTTACCTGCTCTCCGTTGATGCCCGCCAGCGGCGCGACAGCAAAGCGGCTGCTGTGCCTTTCCAAGCCCAGGGTCAAGCCGGTTCGACCCTGAGCCCTTCACAGGGCGCATCCATGGACGACGAGCCCTCGTCACCCTTGCAGCATGCCTCGAAGCTCCTGAATGATATGAACGCAGAGATTCAATTCAATCTAGGGGGCCTAGAGTCCATGGGCGAGCCACCGAAAACTACCGCCGTGGTCCCTACACCTGCTCTGGAGACTGCTCCCCGGAATGGTGTCGCGCGGCCCTCTGCTGCTGACGCCAGTGCGAATACTGCTATGGTCTATTCCAAGATGAACGGAGAGATCGAGCCCGTCGTCTACCCGGTGGGCGCCACCAACGGAATCGATCCTATGTACAGTGAACATGTCAACAACGTCCCGTATCCCATGCCTCCCAAACAAGAGATTGACGAATCTCGACGGCAATTCCCCGACAACCGAAAAAAGAGCGCAAATGTCGATCCCGGTTGGGTGCGCAGCCCCCATATTCTGCTCGTGGAAGATGATGCGACATGCCGTCAAATTGGTGGCAAATTCCTATACTCCTTCTCGTGCCTGATTGATACCGCGGTATGTTACTTTTTCACAGACTCGGAACTCTCTCGACTAACATGGCTTCAGTTTGACGGCCTGGAAGCGGTGAACAAGATCCAGGATGGTTCCAAGTATGATCTCATTCTCATGGACATTATCATGCCCAATCTGGATGGTGTTTCTGCTTGCCACCTTATTCGCCAATTCGACAGGACCCCCATCATCGCCATGACATCTAACATTCGCAGTGACGATATCCAGCTCTACTTCCAGCATGGTATGTTCGCCACCCCCTGGGCTCCTTAGTACAGCCACTCTTGGGTCGCTATGTTAGTGACTAACAGCATTAATAGGAATGGATGACGTCCTTCCAAAGCCCTTCACAAGAAAGAGCCTTCTCGATATGCTTGAGAAACACTTGGTTCACCTGAAAACGATGCCGCCGGGCATAGAGGCTCCCCAATCGGCAGCAGCCGTTACGATGGCCGCGCAAAGCTCGGCCGCCCAGTCAGTCAAGGAGGACAGCTCTCCTGGGCAATCGCCAGCAACATCGATGACTGCTTGGCAATCACCGGGCCAATTTCCAGGCATGACTGCCGTGGCTCCTAACGTTCCGCAAGTCCAAGGCCAATATATACCCGCCGCCCCTGCTGCGGCTGCATATGCCGTAGATCAAAACGGAGTTCAGTATCCCGCACCCGCGGTGGCCCTTGCTACTACGGCGCCTGCGGCCGTCAGGCCGCAACCACCTCGACGACAGCTCTCGGAAATGTCGAGTGCCACCGAAAACCCCAATATGGCCAAACGGCCGCGCATGTACTCTCATCAAGCGCAGCCAATGGTTAACCCCATGCAAGCTGCGCGAACGGGCTAGATCGAGTGTCTTCCATCTCTCACCTCTTTTCTCGCCCTACACTAGATGAACAATGACCTTTACCCAATTCCCTTTGACACCCGCCTTCCCGCATCTCTCACCCCACTCCCGCTACGCCTCTCCACCTTACGATTTCCGTTGTTCTTCTCGTGATGAAGTCTTAGCCGTACGATACTGTTGTCTCGGGGAGTTGTACTGCTTCTGTGTTATTTTCCCGACGTTGCTCGATATATCCCGGTGTTGGAGGCGCGTGTTATTTACTTGCATAGGTTGCGAATCATTTTGCGGCAAACTGTTGCGTTGTTTTCGTTTCTACTGGCTGGATGGCCGATGCAGTCGAAAAAACTGGTACTCGAGGTATGGCATCCAGATACCTTGGTTTTGGCAGCAGGACCTTGGGCTGGCAGCATGTAGTGTCTATTGTACGCGTCATATGGACTTGTTATTCTTCTTGTTGGGGCGCTTTGTAACCAGTCTCCGTTGTTACGTGGAAGGTCAATTTGCTGTGGGTCAAACAGTTAGCTAAGCATATGATGCTCAACAGCAGGGTTGTTGGGTCAGGAGGTAGGAATCTATAGAGCCAAATTCAAAATCTATTATTAACTCCCATCATTTCCAACCACATAGATACTATTTAACGTTCAGCATATCCAGGTCTAGTAACAGAGTGCAAAAAGGGAATATGACGTTGCAGGCGCCCACCACTTTTTCCACACCAGCCCCGGAGGTTGAAATGGTGGCCACCCACCAGTTGAGCGGAGGGGAGAGCATCATCACCACCCTCGTCATCATACGACCCAGCGAACCGATCTGCCCACCCGATCCCTCCAAGCAGGCTGCACTTCCGATCTGGTGTTCATCAGCTTTATCCACGATAGATAAGGTTCTAGACCGTCGGTCCCTGAACAAGGGATATTCCTTCGAGTCCATGAGGGCCCAGGCCTTCGATGGTGTTCTGGACTCTGAAACCCCCGGCACTCGCTGAGCCACTGTGGCTGTACCCCTTCTGCAACGGTCATTCAATCACGTGAGATACTCATCACGTGCATTGTGACCAGGGGAGAGCAGCCGAGGTGAGGTGGGGGTGTTTGTGAGTAGGAGTAGGAGACAAACAAGACAAACAGGCCGCCAGGTGGGATGAAGAAGAAAGCGTGACTCTGACTACCTCCGCCCGACGGCGCCGGGCTTGGCGGAGATTTTGCGAGTTGAACGCGCCCTGGGCGAACTTATTCATTGTTGCTGTCGGATTGTGCCGATTGTTCTAGGTGACTTTTTACGCCTGCCATAATTTTCCCACAATACCCTGTTACTGCTATTTCCTATTTCTTGGACCTACGCCGTATCTGAGTCCCTTTGTGATTTGAGGTGGGGGAATTTCGAGAAATTACTCATCGGTCGATCTACATACCGTTCCTGATGTGAGTGCGCAATTGTGTGCCCTCAGCGCTCTTTGATGGAGGTTATGGACCTGTATTGTTCTGACTTGCTGACGCTTTTGGTGTATAGATGGGCCCGAAACAAAAAGGTGGTGCGGCGAAGAGGGGAAATGCCACGGAGGAGGTAGAGGAGACATTGCAGGCTGTTGTATGTTATATTCGAATCGCAGAGGAGAGGTTGGTGGTTTGTGGTTTTGAGCTAATGGCGCCGTGTGATTCTAGGTGCTTGCGGATACTTTTGAGACGAGGTTCGAGCCGTTCACACTTGAGAAGCCTAGGGTATGTGTGGTTGTGCTGCTGCGTTGACTGTATGCATCGATGGTGGGGGACTCTGAAGGCTGACGCAGGAGTGATTGATCTAGTGTCTCTTGCCGCTTGCGAACACTCCCTTGATTGAATATACGCTCGAGTTCCTTGCCAATGCCGGTGTGGAGGATGTCTTCCTGTACGGCGGAGCGCACTCCGATCAGCTGGAGAAATACATCAAGTACGTGCGGGCTTATACAGGATATGCTGGAGATATGTTATTGTGGTTGCCGGGCTGACAAGGAGGATTTGCACAGTGCGTCCAAATGGAGAGCGCCGTCGTCGCCTTTCAAGCAGCTGACTTTCCTCAAGTCGACGTCGACGTCGGTTGGAGATGTCATGCGTGATCTTGATGGCAAGCATCTCATCACGGGCGACTTCATTGTTGTCAGCGGTGATGTTATCAGCAACTTGCCCATCGAAGGCGCGCTAACTAAGCACCGTGCTCGCCGTGAAGCGGACAAGAACGCCATCATGACCATGATCTTGAGAGAGGCTGGCCGGAACCACAGAACTAAGTCCTCGTCTGTGTCCCCTGTTTTCGTTATCGACCCCACCAAGGACCGTTGCCTACACTACGAGGAGATCGACCATCATTCCCCCGAGTCTTCTCGCCTGAACATCGACGCGGAACTCATTACGACACACCAGGAGATTGACCTGCGCCAGGATCTGATCGACTGTAACATCGATATCTGCACACCCGATGTGCTGAGTCTCTGGTCCGACAGTTTCGATTACCAGACGCCCCGCAAGCAGTTCTTGTACGGTGTGCTGAAGGACTACGAGTTGAACGGAAAGACAATCCACACACACATTGTTAAGGACCACTACGCTGCCCGGGTCCGGAATCTGAAGGCGTACGACGCTGTCAGCAAGGATGTCATTTCGCGGTGGGCGTACCCTCTGTGCCCCGACACCAACCTGCTTCGCGGCCACAACTACGAGCTTCGGAAGGGAAGCCTGTACCAAGAGCAGGGTGTGACTCTGGCCCGCTCGTGCGTGATCGGTCGGCGCACGGTCATCGGCCAGGGCACCAGCATTGGAGACAAGACGACGGTCAAGAACACTGTTCTCGGACGCGACTGCAAGATCGGCAAGAACGTCACGCTGGATGGTGCTTATATCTGGGATGGCGCTGTCATCGGCGATGGAACGACTGTCAACCAAGCCATTGTTGCTGACCGGGCAGTGGTGGGCAAGAACTGCACCATTGAGCCTGGCTCTCTGATTTCATTTGGTGTCGAGATCGCCGATGGTGTCAAGGTTAGCGACGGAAGACGCATAACGACAGCCTACCGGGAGGAGGACGATGAGGTGCCGGCCAGTGAGCCCGAGGTTGTTGGAGAAGGCGGCAAGGGATATGAGTACGTTCCTTATGATGACGATGAGGACGAAGATGAGACGGCCAGCAATGCTTCGTCTGGTTTGAGTAAGTGCATTCTGCAGCTCCATTTTTTTTTGAGTCTGATTGGCTAACAATACTTTCGCAGTTTACAATATGGCGAACCTGTCTCTCTCTACAGAGTCTATCTCGACGCTTTCCTCCGAGATCTCAGAATTCGGCCGGTCTCGTTCGGGTAGTTTCAGTACTACAATGTCCGACGACGAGGACCAGGACCACTTTGTCCACGATGCCGCGGCGAGTGTCTACGACAGCTTGCGGGATGGCGTCACATCCGACGTGGTACAACTGGAGCTGGTCAGTCTGCGTATGACGGCGAACGCTTCCGACCACCAGGTCCGACGAGCCGTGGTCTCGGCGTTCATGAAGCGCATCCAGCAATTGATGGACGGCGGCAAGGGAGCGAGCGAGGCCATTCGAGAGATTTTCGGCAAGTACAAGGAGATTGTGGAGCGGTCACTGTTCGATCGCGACAGCGACGAGAAGCCCGATCAAGTGGACTTGCTGGTCCTCCTGCAGCAGGACCTGGCGCACCGCAGCCGTGGTGACACGGTCATGCTGTTCACGGCCAAGGAGCTGTACGACCTGGAGATCGTGGAGGAAGAAGCTTATGAGCAGTGGTGGGCCGATGAGCGGTCGAGCAGCACGGAGGAAATGCGGCAAGTGCGCAGCCAGTCGCAGCAGTTTGTGGACTGGTTGGCCAATGCGGAAGAAGAGGAGAGCAGCGAGGAGGAAGAAGAGAGTGATGAAGATGATGAGTAGATGATATAGACCATAGCCTAGAAGACTAGCAGAATTGACCAAAATTCAATGACAAAAAGGGGTTACTCCATTCATACTATTGCAGCATACCCATACCCAGCATGAATGGAGCTGCAGATGAAGCGTAGGTTGAATTGTTGCTAGTTCTTTCAGTGCCTTTATTTGGGTGCCTAATATCACAGGTATCAACCAGGCAGTCACGGGTATTACCCAAAGAAGCAAGTTAGATAATGAGATTGCCTGAATCAGTGACGATGGAATTATTTGTTGGCGATCGCCTGGTTCTTGCCTTGCTTCAGCCAGCACCATTCCAATAATAACTTCAAGATTGTTCTGTTTGTTGCTTCTAGATACGACTTGGATCCTCCCAGGTGGATAGACGACAGTGCACACATCATCTTCATTATTGTCATCATAGCACCCCTGTGATTATTGCTCACTATTTGACTCGGTAGTCGGTTAGTTACATGTCACATTGACTAAGAGGCGTGAGGGGAGGGGGGGGGGAAGAAGACCAGCTGTTGTCTTCCCAAGGTACTACCGTACTAGTCTATCTTTCTATCTATCTTACTCCGCACTTCTGGGAACTTTCTCTTCGATGTGCACGGCTCTATCTGCCTTTACCTGTTCCTCGAACTGTCTCTCCCCACAGTTTGGCTCTTTTGGTGGAGTTCATCCCCCTCTACTTTAGAACTTGGGCCTCCTGCTGCAGTTTGACCCTGCCAAGTCCCTAACATTTGGAGCCGCGATCGAGCATAATAAAGGGATACATCATTCCCTTTTTCCCTTTTTTTCACCCACTGGATCATTCCTCGAAATAGGGGATCCCAGTGCTGAGAAGATATTTTCGGACCGGAATCCACCTTGTTTTTCTTTTCTGATATTCCCCTTTTTGATCGAATCCACTGTTGCAGTTCAATCGCATCCAGAAAAAAACGGACCCCACACCCAGAATCCCTCCCGTGACGTCCGCCCGGCTGTTAGTGACACAACCCGCCCCTCCCTTTTGCCCAAGCAGCTGATTGAACATCATTAAGCTCTCTCCACGCAACGATCGGCTGAGGGCTAGTGCTGCCCTGTTCCCCTCGTTCCTACTACCTCTACCCTGTTTTCTTCTTCCTTATTGTCATCAGGGTATTTCCGTATCCCCCTTATTTTATTTCTTACCAAAGTTCCTGCTATTTCCGGTAGGCTGCGGGCTGTGTGTTGTCTCGAGAAAAAGAGGTCTCGACATCCCATCTCGAGGCCTACCTTTTTTTCGCGTCAGCACATAATACCGGCTTGCCACGGGCAGAAACGCTTTCACCACGCCTCCCCTCACGAGAAAGAGGAAGGCGGCCGCGGCGACGCTTGTAGATAACGAACCCAAAACAGCCGCCACCAAGGCTTCCGTCGCCCTTTCGCCTGCCGCCACCGCAACCTCCTCTTCGGGCCAATCCTCCCGCAAAAAGCAGAAGCCCGCGGTCCAGGACCCTGACTCTGATTATACCATAGCGACTCCTGGTAGCTTTTCGGTTCCCGTGCGATCGAAGGAGGAGGAGGATATCGATACTCCGGCGTCTACCAGCATGGAGTCGGATGAGGACTTTATGAGTGTCGGGTCGAGCCCGGATGATTTCCTGGATACCCAAGGAAGTGATGTCGAGAGTCTTGGGGAAGGTTAGTGATCGGGTTGACTACTTATTCTTGGTTATATGGTCATGCTGACGATATCCTACTTGCTTACTGTACAGACTTCGGTGACGATTTCGATGGCGGATTCTCTAAAGATAAGGATATCATCGCGACGAAACGAAAGCCTTATGAGGTTGAGTTTACTGTTTTGAGCCCGGAGGACATCGATCGTGAACAGAACTTGCAGATTAATGAGGTCTCCTCGATCCTTGGGCTGCCCCCAGAGTCGTCGGCTATTCTGCTGCGCTATGGACGATGGAATCGGGAGAAGTTGATCGAGTCATACATGGACCATCCCGAGAAGACGCTGGAGGAGGCAGGCCTCGGCACCAACTTTGATGGAACGCCAAAGACTGAAGTGATACCAGGTTTCGTGTGCGACATCTGCTGCGAGGACGGCGACGACCTTGAGACATATGCCATGCGTTGCGGGCACCGCTTCTGTGTGGATTGCTATCGTCATTATCTGAGACAGAAGATCCGGGAGGAGGGTGAAGCAGCGAGGATAGAATGCCCGAGTGATAGCTGCAATATGATTGTGGACTCGAAGTCATTAGGTCTTTTGGTGACAAACGATCTTAAGGAGAGGTTAGAATTGCAGCATGTCCTTTACTTGCCCTGTTACTGACGCCTTTTAGATACCACGCGCTTCTTACACGAACATACGTCGATGATAAAGACAACCTCAAATGGTGCCCGGCGCCCAACTGTGAATACGCGGTCGACTGCCCTATAAAGCAGCGTGATCTTCGTCGTGTCGTACCCACTGTACAGTGCGACTGTAGGCACTATTTCTGCTTTGGGTGCACACTAAATGACCACCAGCCAGCACCCTGCATGCTGGTGAAAATGTGGCTCAAGAAGTGCGAAGACGATTCCGAGACGGCGAACTGGATCTCTGCCAACACCAAGGAGTGTCCCCGATGCCACTCAACGATCGAAAAGAATGGTGGATGCAACCACATGACGTGTCGCAAGTGCAAGCACGAATTTTGCTGGATGTGCATGGGACTGTGGTCTGAACACGGCACTAGCTGGTATAACTGCAACCGCTACGAGGAGAAATCTGGATCAGATGCCCGAAGTGCGCAGGCGCGATCCCGGGCGTCGCTGGAGCGATATCTCCACTACTATAACCGCTATGCCAACCATGAACAGTCCGCCAAGCTGGACAAAGATTTGTATCTTAAGACGGAGAAGAAGATGACGAGCCTGCAGTCGCAGTCTGGACTCTCATGGATCGAGGTGCAGTTCCTCGATACCGCATCGCAGGCACTACAGCAATGTCGCCAGACGCTGAAGTGGACATATGCCTTTGCCTACTACCTCGCCCGCAACAATTTGACGGAGATCTTCGAGGACAACCAGAAGGATCTGGAAATGGCGGTGGAAAGCCTGAGTGAGATGTTCGAAAAGCCCGTACCGGAGCTGGCGAACTTGAAGGTCGACATCTTGGACAAGACGGCGTACTGTAACAAGCGTCGGGTGATCCTCCTCAGCGATACTGCAGAGAACTTGAAAAACGGTATGTCCCTTGTGATTTTGATAGACAATTCTGTATACTGACATGCAATTTCCAGGGGAATGGTCCTTCAACGTGGAATGGTAGACTACAGTATATAGAATGATCGAACTTACATCCTGTTGAGGCGCCACCCTCCCCCACTACTTCCTCAGCCGGTGGACGAGCTTCACGACGTGCATGACGACAGCGCATATGGTTTCTATCTATCTAAACAACTCTCTCTCTCTCTCACTCCGGCGTCCCTGATGTTTTCCTGGATGGTTCGTTATTCGTATGTATCAACTACTTCTGGCGATTTCTGTGCTGTACTTGTCATATATTTCTTCTTCCACATTTTTCCTCGAAACATATTAGTCAGAGGACTAATACTATCCGAGTTTGCCATTTCCATATTCAACGCCTCGAAGAGGGGAGGGATGTATTTGAGAGGCATGCACATGATGTGAACAGACTGAGTCGGGTGGGTAGGTGTCTAAAATTGACAAGTTGTGGGAGATTGTATGAAGAAAGAATGTCCGAGTAGGTAGATGCCTTATACGGAGGATTATAGTTAACAACTATTACAGTCACAAGGTATCCATGCTTATGCACCAGCTAGTCCAATTAGCCATAGGATGGATATCTGGGTACTAGAGAAAATGAAGAACCACGAAAATTGTACACAGAATCAACAACCTACATTGATTGATCCCACGTAGCAAGTCAGCGATGATCCACTAGATACTAGATTACTAGCCAGTTACCTTATCCAGTAAGTAGTAGTATTAGTAGTGCCAAACGCCAAACACCAATTCCCCAACAGCCAACGGCGCCAACTAGATGTCTACTACTACAGTAGCCTGCTTGAATAGTACTAATCAACTCGACCTCAGTCCGTTCAAGCACTGACACGAGATCTGAATATCCCCGAGCCAGGCATATACTGTCCCATTGAAAAGTAAAATAATGAAAATGAAAAAGAGAGGAATATCCATAAAAGGAACTTAACCCCGAGCCAGCACCCAAAAACAACCCGTGGCGAAAATTAATAATAATATTAAAAGGAAAATTCATTATTCTAGAATATGTCCAAAAGAAGTTGGATAGTGGAAGGTGTTAATCAATCAGATAAGCCAAACCGAGCCCGGCCCACCCCAAAACCAAAAGGAAACGAAGAGGAAAAAAAAGAGATCATCTGCACAGGCTGGCATGCACTGACTGGCACGGCGCCGCGGTGTGCCGTGCCGAAGTTTTGTGACTGATTGATTGATTGATTAAATGGATTCCTCCGTGCTTCGGCGGTTTGCTTACTTTACTTTACTTAGTTAGTCTCCATCTAACTGACTAACTACGGAATAAAGTAATAGTCTCTTCGCTTCGTGCCGGGGAAAGAAGAAGGAGAAAGGAATTTTTTTCTCCAGGTGATTAGATTAAGTAATAGATTTGATGGATGCTTTTTATGGGAAATTACCGGTTTAATGTCGCTGAATTTTTTTTATGCTGGATGGATGGATCGGGGCGAAAAAGAATTCATTATTCATTATTCAATAGTACTTCGGAGTAGTCGGTTGGGTTATGGAGATGGATGGGGCTCCGTCATCGGATCTGTCGTAGTTAGTCAGTTTTGCCTAGGTACTTTGGAGGTTCGTTAGTAAGGTAAGTTGTCTAAGGCAGTCTAGGTCGGGGATGCTGATTCAGCAAGTAGATTGTCTGTCTGTGTGTGTGAGCAAGGCAGGTGGTAAAAAAAGAAAAGATGGAAAATTTTGGGTAGTTCCGAGGAACACGTTCAGTAGGTAAGATAGACAATAATGATGTTTAGTTATCATGCGGAGGATAGGCATAGTGGGTGGTAATTGGGTAAGGATAAATTGGGGAGAAGCGGGCTAGAAAACACAAGGAATCAGGATGGAAGGAAGGGAAGGGAGGCAAGGCTGGATTTTATCAATCTCTCCATCTAATTAATAATTTTACCGAAGGGACGAACTGGTGAAAGTTCTCCCTCAATCAATTTATTTACCTATGACTATCTTACCTACTATCTAACTATCTACTACTTACTTGGGAGTAGTTTAGTTATGAGAAAGCTGAACTAAGTTAACTAACAAATAAATTACTGCTGCTCCGGGCGGGACTGTCGTGCATACTGACTGATACATCCTCAATACCACTTCAACAGCTGCATCCACGCGGGGATTCGGCCCGGTGAAACAGGTTGAAACCACCTCCGAACGGTATTAATGACCCGGGACTTGCTTTGCTCCTTTAGTTCACCTTCAGCAGCAAGAAATTCCCGACTGTCCAGAAAGATTATTATTTCCTATCTTTCGCCAGTCCGTCCTCTGCTCTCCTCCTCTCACCTTTCTCCTCTACTCCCCTCCCTTTGAGGCATTGAATAACTTCTTCCTCCCCGTCTTGTAATCGGGCTGATCCTACCTTTCTCCTCTCCTCGCCTCCTCTCCGTCTCGCTCCCTCCCCTTCCGCCCGATATTCTTCCTCTCGGAGTCCGGCTTCCTCTCCGCTCCGCAAGTCCGTTTTTCTGCGTCGGCATTTCCATCCTCGACCAAGTACCTCCACACTCCCAAGCTCGACCATCCCCCCCGAGCTGTCTGATATTCGATTCTTCTTCTGAAGAATATAAAATCGCCTCTTTCTCTAGCGACAGCAGCTGTGATACCAAACCAATCAAGCTCCATGGCGTCTCCCGAGCAAATTCCCGGGCAGGAATACGAGTATGTCGACCGTGTTATTTTCTCCTTCGTATTCGTGGCGATTTCGCTTGTTCGCGCAAGGCTATCTGCAGGGACTATCTCGTCAGCAGATATATCCTGCGATTGACTGCACTGTCCGATTTATTGCATTTTCCGGAGCGTTATTTCGCAACGATCTGCTTTCGGTGTTGGAATCCGCAGCTAACCCTCCATTCTGATAATAGCTATGAAGCCCTCCCCTCGAACTACGGCTTAGGCCGGAATATGCTGGCTGGCGCTTTTGCAGGAATAGCAGTATGTGGAAAACACCGTGATGAATTGGTGACTGGGTTCCGGTGGTTGTGCTAATGGGTGCCTGGTTGTTCTAGGAACACTCTGTTATGTATCCCGTCGACTTGCTGAAGGTACGTTGATGGTTGTAGGGGAGGTTTGAGATGGGTTGGAGGTGCTGGAGATTGATCGCTTCATCTCTTCTGTTGGACTTTGCGGGTGCGGTGGGCTAATGGTGGGGTTCGTACAGACACGCATGCAAATCCTGCATCCCTCGAATGGCGGGCTCTACACAGGCTTGACTAATGCGGTTTCGACCATCTACCGGATTGAAGGCTGGAGGACGCTATGGAAGGGCGTCTCGAGTGTTATCGTTGGTGCTGGTGAGTGCGACAATTTCGGGCGCGCCGTTGTAGGTGCTATCGCGGCGGAGGTTGACTTGGTGAATTTTTAGGTCCGGCTCATGCCGTTTACTTTGGTACATACGAGGTTGTTAAGGAGATGGCTGGTGGCAACGTGGACGATGGGCACCACCCGGTAGCAGCTGGTAGGTTTTGGTGTTTCGCTTGGAGGTGCGATGATTTTGGTGCAATTGCTGACGATGCCAAGCGCTGAGCGGTGCGTCCGCAACCATTGCTAGCGACGCCTTGATGAACCCCTTTGATGGTGAGTACTGCGCCATTTGCGCTCCGTCCTTCTCAGTCTGTTTTTGGGGTGTTGGCTAACTGAAGCAGTCATCAAGCAACGCATGCAGGTCCATGGCTCGGTACACAAGAGTATCCTTCAATGCGCCCGCTCCGTCTACAAGACAGAGGGTCTCCAGGCGTTCTACGTATCCTATCCCACTACGCTTTGCATGACGGTGCCTTTCACCGCCACTCAGTTTGTCGCCTACGAGTCCATCTCCAAGGTCATGAACCCGTCGCAGGATTACGACCCGTTCACGCACTGCATGGCGGGAGGTCTGGCGGGTGCATTCGCCGCCGGTATCACCACCCCGCTTGATGTTGTGAAGACGCTGCTGCAGACCCGAGGGCTGGCCCAGAACGAGGAGATCCGGTCGGCCAAGGGTCTGTTCAACGCTGCGGCCATTATCAAGCGGCAGTTTGGCTGGAAGGGATTCCTGCGTGGCGCTCGCCCCCGCATTATTTCTACCATGCCCAGCACCGCCATTTGCTGGTGAGTTTCCTTGCAACTTCCGACGGACCCATTGCAAAATTTACCCCGACGCTTGCGCATTGAAAACGGTTGCTGACGCAATTCTACAGGACCTCATATGAGATGGCCAAGGCCTACTTCAAGGGCCAGGTGGACAGCTAGATGCAAGCACGGCTTTAGCTAACGACCCGATCGCATGAATCCGACACAATCCAGCTCAGCGACCCTTTTTGACCTCTGGTTCCGACCTGACTCGTCCGCGGACCCAAGAAAAAAAAGACCCATTCCCCAAGAAACCATTAGTCACATGAATAGGAAGAAAGCCCGACCAAAAGCAAAACAGAAAAAAGAAAAGAAACGAAACGAAAGAAAAAAGATAGTCTTGTTGAACAAGCAGTCAAAAACAGAACAAAGCAAAATCTTCGTCCTTTGCGAGCATCACGTGCGCAGGACGGACCCGATCGAGCGCTGCAGGCTGAAATGAGCTCAACTGAGCTACGGGCGGGTTGAAGCTTTCTGCAGCTATCATCCCCTTCTCCTTGACCTCCTCTTCCTTTCTCCCTTCCTCTTCTTTTCCCGTCTGCTCTTGTTCTCGTTCGTCGGGGGGATTGCGCCAACTGCCGAGGCTCTCGGACTTAATTAACGCAAGCCCGGGCGATCACGAAATAGAGAACGGACCAGGAAAGGAGGAGGGATCCTTGACCGACTCCGAATGGGGAACCTTAACCTTCTGACGTGTATTTATCTGTTATGAACGGGGTGCTGATGGCTGGGCTTGATGGACGATGAATTCAGGCCTCCCGGGATGTTGGTGAGTGCTGCTTGTTCGTTATTATTGTTTTGAGTGCTTGGATCTGGGCCCTGAGCAAAAAGAAGGGCCCGGCGTATGTTTCAATTCGTGCTTCAATCGCGTTACTACTGGCGTTGGCATGCAGGGGAACATCTGGACGAGTTTCCTATATGTTTTTC